TTGTATGTATAAAAGTCAACCACTTACCAATAGCAATACTACGCATAATAAAAATATGACAGCGCTGGTGTATTCATCACAGTCATCTAATAAAAGCTGGGGAAAAAGGTCTTCTTAAATGAATTGATCATTCTCAGCTTTATATTCTGTCATTACATTTATTTATTATAAATCCAGGGCTGTCCTTCAAGTTAATCTTCATATGATTCAAAAAGACTTCAGAAAGAAAGCAGGAGGGACATACTGTTAAATACATTTAAACTTCAGATACAATCAGTGCCTGGACTAACTAGCGCCAGAGGGTTACATTTGAGACACTTTATGATGAAACAGGTGAAAGCAGATAAGGTAACAAAGCTTAATCATTGGCCACAGATTGAATTTTTTAATATAAAATGACACAGAACGTGGATTGAGGCTCGTGTTCTGCTGTTGATCTGATTCCCCCCCCCACACACACACACAGGCAGAGCTGAGCACACTGGCAGCGCCTGTCGTCAGGCAAAGCTCCAAGCCATTTCCCCGAGATGCATCTCCACTGAATCAATAGGGCCCTCGTAGCATATCATTAGACATAAGTATTATAATTACTTGTGTTATTAATTTTGCCTTAATACCAGGGATAATATGATATGTAATTCAACCCTATTGAGGGAAGAGAAAATAAGATAATCACAAATGCATCTCTTATGAAAATCAATGCTGAAATGGATATTCCAATAATGCCAAACCACTGCCCCTCTGTTTTTTTCCTCATGCATATCAACCAATCATTTTCCGCATTCATCTGGAAAGAAATATATAAATATGTCCGACATATTTCACATGGGCGCCCCTGTCCGAGGCAAAACAATATGGATTTGTGTTGCCTCGCAAACAATTTTAATAAAAAGCTATTGATTGGGGATCGAGCGGTTAGCCTGTGGGCGCGGAGCAGCAGACCCCACTGGGTCCAGATCATTAATGTCCTCAACTGCTGGCTTCACTGGCGCAAATGTGTTCAATAAGGGTCTGGCACGCATGCTTTAGGGTTTGATTTTGATACAGCCACATCAAAGTGTCTGAGGCTGCTCCATAGGCCAGAAAGCTAACACACGTTAGTCACACGTTAGCTTAAAACACGAAGCGAGCATGTGTTTTTCTTCTCTGGCAGTGTTAGAATGAATTCCAATTAATAAAGCATGCTAATGTTTTGAGAAAGTGGCAAATGATTAATGAATTGAAACACACATTACTCCTACTCAGCCTGAGCACTCATGGCAAATATCATCTGGACTGGAGACTAAACAGGGCTAGTCGGAGGAATGTGCATAGTAATAGAGTCCCAACCCACAGCAATACACACACACACACACACACACACACACACACTGTTCAGCTTGTCATCAACAGACATCCTCCAGACAGAGCGGGGGGAATGAAGAAGCAAAACACACTCTTACATCCTCTGCTTTATGTCAAACCTCATTGAAATGTGTGCAGCCACTGTATCTACGTCCAGGCTAAAACACAGGCATATACTTTCCTGAGCAGGTATCAAAGCCTTGGCGCAGCGAGACACTTTTAATTACCAGGTACTTTCCTTATGCTCGTGATTTCAATTTCTCCCCGCAAAGCTGGTAATGATATTCAAAATGCCTGCTGGCAACTCCGACTCCTCATCCTCCCCCCTTTCTTTTTCTTCCCACTAAGATGTGAATAGCCTATTTATAGGCTTATTTGTCCTCCAGTCACTTTGTAAAATCTTTATTCTGCCGAAGATATCTTTTTAAATGTGAGCCTCGCTGGAAGGAATGGCAATAAAGGTTTTGGGGTGGGTTGGAGAGATCAATGCAGAATGTATTAGCCGGCACTACCGAGACCGACTTCAATAATAAAAGAATTGATCCTTTAAAGTGAAGCTTACTCCGGGCCTGCATGGTAAAGGAGGATGGTCCATTCCAATACCAAGCAGGACAGATGGAGAATCACAGCAGGGTATTTCACCCCCTCCCCCCAAAAAAATATTCACATTGTATTTCAAACCCATATTAGATTCAGTCGCACGATTACTGAGGGATTCTTGTTGAAATGCATGTATTATGGAGCAGCATATCCACTCATACAGCATATGGAATAACATATTCAACTGGCACTACTTAGGCTTTGTCAAAGGAGGGTGAGGAAAAGAGAATAAAAGGCAAAAAATAATACAGTTAAATGTAGATTTCTTTTAGAAGAATATGTACTGAATGACATTTTAATTTACTGTTATTAGGGCAATTCGAAGAGTCGATACGTGTGATTTAATTTCAAAGAATTTTCCTTGGCATTTCTTGTTTTTAAAACAGGAGCTCCTAATATTTCCATTAGTCACCGGACACATCAGATCCCAGCAGTGTCTGTGCACACAGCCGTCAGTGGTAAAGCGCCAGCAGTAATCAAGCGTGAGGGCTGGATATATAACAAGCACACTTCACAGTATGCCTAACAAGCGCACTTCACACACTAATCAGCTCAAGTGGACTTGCATCCACATCCTTGCGCTCTGTTTCTGCGTGGATACGAGCAATGGTTTAGATTATGAAATTATCCGGATAGTATCAATAGATAATGTTATCAATGATTTGACAAAATGACTGACTACGTCGAGGATTAGTAGTGGGTGAATGTCCCTGTGGCAGTAAGAGTGGCAAATGCAAAATGGGACTCATCTTATCAGAGAGGAAGTACACACAATGTACTTTTTCTTTCTTTTAAAGAAAACTTTCGTATGTTTTTTCTTATGAATGTTTTGAGCTCCTTCACAGTGCTTCCATATCAACACATTAAACAAAAAAAATGCAGGGGCTATAAATACACCAGACAGCAATAAGGCTGCAGCTACGTAAAACTTTGGAACAAAGCCGATGTGTTTTCTTTTTTTATGAAATCTACATATAATCAATAAAATGTCAAATAGTGGAAAAAAGCCAATCCAAATATATTTTCCTGACACAGAAAAGCCTGTATATATTTTTATTTAATTGTATAAGACATACTGAGGCAGTACATTTCCATATTTAAAATGCTGGAAACAGCAAATATTCTTGTTTGACTGACAACTGCCAATTCTCCAAATTCAACACATTTTCTGTCGATCATTGATCATTTGAATAATTGGTTCAACTTTAATAAACAGTTTTAAGAAGCTCTAATACATCTTAAACGATAATCCTGAATAAAGAGTTGAGTGTTACTTAAATAGAGACTTTTTTGCCCCGTGTCATAATTCGGGTTCAAAAGCTGCAAATTATAGAATAACACTTTTTTTCCATTTATTTTGACTCAACAGTAAATATAGTAAAATGTTGTACATTGAGCGCATAGAGTGCATTGAAAAATATGTTATTTGTAGCCTAAATAAAAGCGAAATAAGTGTCAGCATCAGCCTATAATGGTATAAAGCTCAAATACACACACACACACACACACACACACACATGCAGTGACCCCCAGTTCTACCTAGTGTGTCCTCCACCCATAGAGGGATGCAGAGGAGGGTGCAGGATAGACACCGCCTCCTGTAATCCCATCAACTCATGTCAGACAGCAGTCTGGATACAAGCCTATCTGTGAGGCCTGTAATCCACGACGACTTCACATACCACGCTCACACTATCTGCAAACACACACACACACACACACACACACACACACACACACACACACACACACACACACACACACACACACACACACACACACACACACACGGGTGGAGAGAAAAGTGATAGTTGGTGTCTGCTTTACTCAATTTGTTTTTGCAGAAACTCTTGATATGCTATATATAAAGGCAGAATCAGCATGTTGTCATGCATCGTTTTGGCACACGCGCAGTGCTTTAGTAATAGATTTAAAGACTTGTAGATATAAAATGTAGATATCAACGGCAAAACATGCAAAGGGAATTATATTATGACTAGTTAATGTGTCAGTGAATCCTTAGGGCAATGGTGCAGGTATAAAGAAATATAAAGAAATGTTCATTTATGTACTGACAATTTGACAGACTAGTGCATGTTTTCAGAGAACATAAATCAAATGTCTGTGTCTGCAAGTTTAAAAAATGTTTGCCAAATGTGCTGATATATTACAGGAAAATAAAAAGATATGATGCTTTTGTCAATAAGTCTAAAATCTGACCTGCTAAAAATGTATTTCTTGAAATATAAATGAGAATCAAAGCTCCTCTTAGTGTGGTTAACAATCAGGCATTACATTACTCAGATTAAACATAAAAAGCGGCTTAAAATGACAAATTCAAATATGTTAAAAAGGGGCAAAAACCATAAAATAATCTACACGTGGCCATGCACAAATCCCTGAACGCCTCCACCACATTTTCCTGTCAAGCCATTCAATCAATCACCGGTACCGGGGAACAACGTGTCCCATTGTCATTCAGATAGGCTACATGCAAAATGCCACAAAGAGGAGAAGAAAAAAAAGGAGAGATAAAACGACACGTCGGACAAGGCACCCCTGCTCATGTCTTGCTTCAGAGAAAGAGAGGGAGGGAGGAAGAGAGAGAGAGAGAGAGAGAGAGAGAGGCAGAGACACAGGGTGCAGGACCCACACGGTGTAGTTCCAGCCAATTGCATTCCAGAGAAGTGACCATGGCCAGTGATAACAAGCACCATAGATCATTCCTCCACCCAGACGGAGCTCCGGTGCTGGAGGCAGCGGAAGGCAGAGCGGTCAGAGTGAGACAGAAAGAGAAGCAGACAGAGACAGAAGACCACAGAGAGCTCACCGCTTATATGCCCCTCTGCTATCCTCTGATGCTACATTTTGACGCCCTTTTTGCAACTGGAAAATGCCATTAAAGCCGGCTGTGCAGATTCCATCACTGCATGACAAGAGAAAGGCAGCGAGCGAAAAAGAGGGAGGGATCCTTCTCTCACTGTGCCGATGCAAAGCAAAAAATACTGCCTTCAATTGTTTCCTTTAACAGAACAAAAAAGGCATTCAACACTTACCCAGATTCATTTGCATCACAACAGAAACCTCAGATATTCCTCCCAAACAGATGTGGAGCAGTGAGGGTCCCCCTCTTGTGTTTGTGAGCCTGCCCGGGCTAGGTTTCTCTGTTTGCATCAGCCGGCTTTTTTACGGCTTTTGAAGCAGGTGGATGACAAAAACATCAATCTCTCCAGGCACATTGTGTGGCATGCACGCTTTGACACACTCCCCTCACCGGCGCTATACACTATAATCACACATTCCTATTCTCTCCTCGCAGCTCCACGAGTCAAATACGGGCTCAAAAGGGAAACTGAAGGACAAGTGTGCATTGTTGGAGTGTGTTTTTGTTGCATATCATGTTTTGATTGGATTAGAATGGGAATTTGCTTTTTCTTCAGAGTTACATTTGCCATATGTTGAGGCAATTGGTAAAAGGGAGGGCATTGGGTGAATAAGCCAGAGTTAGCATCCTGAATCAGTTCCATTGTTTCCCCTCTTTAAATCATGTATTGTAAACTTAGCTGTCAGTCAGGTTAAAGATCAAAAGTCCAAAGACAAAACTTGATCAAAACTTATAATATAAAAAACCAAGATATTTAGGATCAAACATGTCCTCTGCTCAGAGATTTCATTTTTAGAAAACCTGCCTTTCATGAATCATATTCAGGCAGTAGCCTACACACCAACAATGAAACACATGAGCACATGCTACAGTTTAAAAAAGCAGAAATCTGAGCTGACAGAAAATGTTCAGTTTTAGTTTAATAATACATACAGGTAACCTCGCACACACTATTTTATGAACAAATAGGTTCACCTACTGAATTAAAGAATAACAAATGAACCAAAGAAAGTGAAAACCATAAAGCAAATTCATGCGGTAGGTTTATTGAATCCTGCTAGTAATCCCCAATTTTCAGAAAAGTAACAGTAATCTGTTTTGGTATCTTTTAGGTACAGCTACCTTTTTTTGCATCCTGATTACGTAAACCTGTTACATGTAACCCGTTACTCCCCAAGCCTGATCATAAACTAGTATTCATTGGGTTGCCAGAAACATGACTGCGATGATTAACCAGACAACATGACACAGCGGTCTGTATAATATGTTGGTAATAGTTTTGTTTTATGTTTTTCTAATAATGTTGGGCAACATGAGTGATAGCAGCTAGCCCCTGCAGAGCAGACCTTTTGAGGCAACAACACAAGTGGTGTCGATGAGGTATGGCAATGACACAACAAATAAGTCATGTTGATTCTGGTTTCACACCGGATATAAACAACTGGGTGACATTCCTGTGTTATTTGGACCAACCCATTATCCCTGCCATTCATCCTCCTCACTTTGTCAAAGTCTGTAGCTATTCATCACCTTTCCTCGCTCGTTATAATGAAGTACATTTCAGTAACCTGTCTGTGTATTTAAACAATGTTTATAATATTATGTTGTCATATTCCTTACCATTTGTTGTACTTTAAGCTGTAGTGTAATGTAGCTGCAACCCAACCAACAGCCTTCCAACATGGACACCGAAATTATCTGGGAATTACAATATGTAAAACATTAATACTTTATTGCAACACTATTCTAAATATAAAAAATAAAGTGAGACAAATTGAGAATGTATCCTACTGGGACCCAGCCCATTGAAAATGTCCACTGTAGTGGACATTTTGTTAACGTGCATCTCCTTTTACTCTTTTGAGCTACTCTATCAATCCCTGATGTGCTGAACAGAGGACATCCTGGTCTTTCCAGTGATATGTCATTGGTTAAAATTGCATGCTGGGAAGCTCCTCTTTCTTTTCATCCAAAATGGCTGGCATACGAAAAACAAAATTGTATAGAAGCAGGAGGAGAAGTCAAATATTGTTGAATAATTGTCATTGTTACCATGAAAATCATATATGTTCTTGTTTATTAACATGTGAGGAACTATATAATTAGTTCTGAAAGCAATTAAATAATTCAAGTTTTCAAATAACAGCCCTTTTATAAATGTCCATTCTAGTGGACGTCAGGACCGTCTTCATGGACTCAATATTGTTGCAGGAGACGGAACTGAAGCAGACGTTGTATGTACCAGAAAGTTCAGGAAGATTCAGATGTTGAGCTCTCAGATGATGAGAGAGATGATGATTTCATACCTGGGATAGAAGAGGGTCAAGAAGAAGGGGGGGGGGGGAGATGCAGGAGGCTCCATGAGCGCACAGATAGATACATAGATACAGATAAGGACGAGCTGGAAAGACATGGCCCCCTGTGGGCCAAGAGTAGCACGCATGTCTTATTGTTGTTTTTATTTTAAGTGGAGCCATGACAAATGAGAGTTGCCTCAGGAATGCAAGCTTTGTTTCTATGAGCAGGTCAAATGGAGACCACATCCATACAACTAGTCAAGATGACCCTACAGCCCGTGCTGACTGGAGTCAATGAGGTACTTTCCCAGTACATTGACTACAAAGTCTTTGAAGATCTGGAAAGATTCACCAAAAACCAAACTAGTTTTTTATTGACCAAATAAACAGCAATGTTCAGATCAATGACTTATTCATGTTTTAAATAAAGGTGAATGTATTATTGTATCAATATCACTCTATAACCATAATACGTTACATAGTCCATCTGTTAATTTTGGCTGTCTTTTCAAACTAATATGGTCCCGACGTCCTCTACAGTGGACATACTGTAACATTTTAAAATAAAATAAAATAAAAAAAGTCTAAATTGCAAGATGTTTTTTTAACCCTAAATAGGTAGGAAATCACAAAAAAAAGGAAATTGGAAGACACATTTGTTCTCAATTTGAAGACGACTAAAATACCTCAACATGAGCATTTGGAATGTGTATGAATCTATACTCCTTTGTTATGAAGAAAATTACTGAATCCTATTAATTCTATTGCAAATTAGGACTAGAAGTTAACTCAATTTGCTTTTATTACCTAATCACATGTTATTGCATATCAAGGCAGCAAATTAGAATAAACTTAATTCAGATCCAAGTGTCTGCCCTAAACTGACAGCTTTGTATGTGTAACAGTTTATCCAACTTTTATAATCTTCGAAATCAGGGACTGCATTTGTGTTTTTGAGTAATACAAACACAAATAATGTTAATGGCCCTTGTAATCACTGCAACCAACAGTTAAGACAAAATAAAACTATTTACACGTCAAAAAAGTATCTGCTTCTGATTTCCGATACTTTTGAAAGACACTGAATGCGACCGCATGACGTCACCTGTTTTGTTTTTCATGGCGGGATGTGGAGGTTTCAGGCAACTTCTTCTGACTTTCCTGACAAAAACAAGTAACACATTGAGTTTTAAAAACTTTAATTTAAAGTTATACGTTCAAATATGTGATTAAGGGTGCTCGTTTACTGAAACATGCCTGCTAGTTAATACTGTTAGGCTGGCCTCGCTAACGTTAGCTATGGGAACAGTCCTCCTGGTTTGACAGCTAGTTTAGACCAGGTTTACACTCACTGTTAGTGCGATGGAGAGTTCATTGGTGAAAGACAACCCACTGCTTTTACCTCTCAACAAGGAGAAAACTATTTATGACGGATTCATTACAGTCCAGGTAAGTGAATGCGTCAGTGCATTGTTCTTTCAACGACCCTACAACTCCAAACATCGTCGATTATTATAATTCTAGGACTTCTAGCTATGAACAAATTACCATGTTGATAAAAAATAACTGACAGGCGTTACATCAATGTCTACAAACTGCTGGTAAATTCGGCATATTTTAATAGTTCCTCACTTTGGAGAACATGTTTGTAGCAACCTTTAGCAAACTATTTTTCACTTGTGAAGGTTACCACGCACCGCTACGTTTACATTATGGGTAGGCCTACCAACTATTTTAAAAATAACTACTTTTTATTTTCAGGTATTGTTAATGCCGAATTGAAGAAGTAATATAGTTTATTAAGATGTGGAAAAAGGTTGTGTTACACACTAAGTGCAGCTTTTAGAATAAGCACCTTCAATTGGAACATTTCTCAGTGGAGTTCGGAAGGTCACGTGTTGCTTTTCTCGGTTCTCAGTATAAAGGTCATTACAAATGCAGCTGGATAACGTTTGCACACGACCCTCCTCAATTCAGCTCTTTTCTGTTGCCTGTCATGCTTTGATTATTCTCACAGGAACGAGACTTCAGATTGAGAATACTACTACCACCAGATCGTCAAGTTAAACAGGCCAGGTATAAATGATCATCTCACTTTCTCTTTACACAGAACCTAGCATATGCATAGTGATGTTCCAACTATAAATACTTTGTTCTTGCAGGCTGCACTGCTGCTGGCAGTTAAAACACCTGTTGCATGGGTATGAGCACATAGTGAAGCAGGTAAACTCTACATACGTCCCTAAATAATGAATAAAAACAGTTGTATTTTGCTGCAAAGTTAATCCTATTATTAATTTTAAAGGTCTCTGCTGGTTCTTATTGAAATCAGGCTTTGTGTTTTTAGTTGTATTGCCCTTTGTGTTATCTGCATCATGCCTGGCTTGTACTTCTACTCCCTGTCAGCCGCTCAGAAGCAGAAGAAAATATATTTTTCACTGTTTAATTAACATCGCCTGGAAAATGTCCCTATTTGTTATGCTGCCCCTCAGGGTTATTTGGATGAGATTGATATTTCACCCCGGGCTGCAAAGTTCATTATTTTCACAGCCTTTAAGCTATCATTAATTATTAAAGCTGGTGGCAGCCCCCATTAATCACAAACACTGTGTTTGATTTGAATGGCTGGCTAGAGGAAGAAAAAAAGAATTGACACTGTCACTTCATTATCCTCCCATTCAAGGATGTCTCTTCTCTTGTTTGACTCCGCACACAGAGGCAGCAGCAGTCGCCTGATCTTGTCACTTTCATTCTGGAGCTGAAGACCGTCTTGGTAAGGAGGACAATGACACGGTCACTTTGACATTCGTTGCTTCATGAATAAGAAGCAAGAGGAAAGCTAGAGGCGCTATCAATAGCCTGATCTGGAGGTACCAAATACATGTTTGTTAGATTCATGAAAAGTGTAAGAACCTATGTGCTCGCCACTAAACACTTGCATAAGACTAACTGGCCCTGCTCGGTGTATTCATGCTATTCGCTTTTAGTATAACGATGAAGTTGTGATATGATGTGCATGGTAATCAGGGCTTCCAATAAGAAACATCCTCTGTTGTTGCAGGAAGTGGGTCTGAAGAGCCGCCATGAGTGCCGCTCCATCCCGCCTCCACAGTATTACGCTCAGCTCATCTCTGAGATGGAGACCCTTGGGTGGGGCAAGTAAGTGACAAATACTAGCTGTGTTTAAAGGAGCATAAAGCCTCTGATCAGACAGAGTCACACAAACCATGAACTCTTCGCTAGCTTATATTGCTTTGTTTCCTTGAACCACTTCTACGTCTTTTAAACAGATGTTTCTGATGCGTCATCTTTCAATGTAGTAGTTTTACTGATAGTTGTGAGTACTTGCTTCTAGTGATGACTTCAGGTTATTTGACTGGTGGTTGATTTCAAGTAAGATGAAATAGTTTCCAAACTCATTCAATAAAAAAATAGGCTTTTACAATAGTGAAAGAAATGAAAAGAGGCAAAGCTCAAATCAAATGATAAACAGATTTCTATCATCTCTCTTTCCAACACGCCGTGCAGACCACTACTCGTCTCCACAGCTTCTACACAGGGTGCCCCTATCGGTGGCACTTGGGAATTGTAGTCTTTTACAGTCCATTGACTACAGAGGTCATTAGTAGGGTACAATATTGTTTGACCATGACACAAACACTGTCTCGAACGGTACACTTTAAATGAATGAAAAGAACTTATCTGAACCCACAAGTACGCTCATTTCCTCTCAGGCCGTTGTTTTCTGTTCGAATCATGGTAACTACGTAACATCATAATGCTCCAAATATCCAGTAGGTAAATAATCATTGGGAATACATGATTTAAAGTATTTATGAAGTTGGGCATCTTTTCTCTGTGTTTTTTCACTTTTGAGCGAAGCATTATCGGGGAGAAAAGAAATGAACTTGTCAGTCATTGAAAACAACTTCATAAACACACTGCTGTCTGATCAGGGCTTAACCCTCTACATGTCAGCTTACCTGTTTTGTTTGTGGCTAAAGTTACTGTTGTTTCCTCCAATGAGTCAAATTGCATTTATGCTAAATCCTAAAGAGTAGTCTGTGGTAATCGACTAGTGTTAACTAATATATTTTTGTGTTTAGAACATGTGATGGAAAACTTACTAAATGTTAATAGTTGTTGAAATTGAAAAAATAGGTGAACTAAATGTTCCCTGTTTCATATTGAACTGAAAATATTCTATATTTCAGGGTTCTTACAGTCATTAAAAACCTGGAAGAGTCATTTGAAATTCAAAATGCTAATTCCAGGCCCTGGAAAAGTTATGGAAAACAATATTTTTCCCAAAGTGTTGGAACTGGAAGTCATGGAAATGTAACTAAAGTTGCATCAAATATAATTAATATTTTATCTAATCGCCGAAATAGTAATACTATAATGATGATAAATACTGTATGGTATAGTAATGAAACGTAAAATGGTATTTAACTGACGAGGTATTTTGCTGGTGAGAGATTTGAGTTGCTTTAGCGTGTAGAAGCTAAGTATGTTTTAGATAGGCACCACAGGTTTCAGATGCAGACCTTATTTTCCTGTTCCATGTTCAAATAAACCATTTTCAGTGGTACGCTGAGAAAGAGTCGTTGTTCTGGTCATGGGAAATTAGGTAAAGGTCATGGAAAAGTCATTGAAAATCATTGGTGAAAAAGTGTATGAACCCTGATATTTGTAAACGAGCAAGCTTTGTGAGGGCCCATTCCGTCCTCAGATGGCATCAGAATAAGGCGTCGGTGGTCCAGCTGCCATATTCTCTCAATATCCTGTGTGAAACACTGGTTGACTGCCATTGGCCAGTTATTATTAAAAATGTACATTTTCTGAGACTTCTTATACTTTTTGTTTACTTTCCCCAGAGGTGCGATTAACATACCGAAGTGTATACATAGAATCCTCTGGTGCCTTACAGAGCTATATGGAGCAGTCCTTGTTTTTCCCCCAGCAGTGATTGTAGTGCCAGCAAAAACACAGCTCCACATTAACAAATGGCTCTTAATGACTTCCTTATTTTTAGTTATTGAGTTACATTTAAATCCAGGTCACATTTAATAACTCTCACCCACGTGCAGCGACAGACCCGGCTAATACCGGCGTCTCCTCTCGTCAGCAGGAAAGGGGGGTGGTGGTGCTTCGTGGGAAGATATCTATTCTCCCCCAGCTCGGATTAAGCCTTGACTACTACACTCATTTTCCACTTTTCTATTAATGACCACGGCTACAATTATGATATTAGCAAAATGCAAATGGCTCTAATTGAAGACTCTCAGGCTTTAATAGGAGAAGGGGGAGGGGGGGTGAAGGTATGCTTTATGCTGAAAATGGGACCAACATCATTTTCAGTGTCGTGTTACGGTTAGCAGGCATTATACACAGTGGGCCTCAATCTCCAAAGCACTCGAGATTCGCTTAGCGTCTTAATTGGTATGGGCCGTGCTAATAGCCACCAGGGGTTTTCAGCTGTAATTCTGTCTGCTGATTGGCCCAGGTAAGTGAGTCTTCCTCTCTCTCCGCTCCCTCGCTGTGCGTCTCCATCCCCACGTTTGAAAGTGTGGTCATCTTAATTGGCTGGAGATGGCATACCATGTGTTAATTAATGGAAAATGAGGTCAAGTAGGTCAGCCGCCATCACTCGGTGGCCCTAAAACCGTGGCCCTGCACGCTACGGGGCTCATTACGGGCACAGCTGGCACTCATGTTCGCAGCCTCTTGGTGTACCTACCAAGGCTCCTCTTATCACAGTGTAACCACTCTGTCACAGTGTGTTTCTGCTCTTCTGAGGGCCAGGTACAGCAGCTCTCTGACAACGGGGCCACATAGACCCAGAGCTGAGGGATTACATGCTATCATGGATTTTCTTTTGCGTCGTATTTATTATCTTACGTTATTAGGCCAGCTAAAATGACTACTGGGATGGAAATGCATTCTAATTTAGGATTGAGAGGTAATGTTCAGTTAGTAATGAGGTTGTCCTGGTTAGCACAGTTGGACTGCAAACCAGGCGTAACTAGCAAGGACAACGCCACAACAGTAAAGATTAAAGATTGAATTAGAGGAGATATTGGATATTGAGCACTGCTCAATGTAAGGAGTGAAGTAGGATGAGGGATCTCGTCCAATAGGTCTCCAGGAAGTACCTTTTATTAGACAAGAAGTATGCACCAGATTAAATAGAACGAGAAAGGGGTAGACAGGAAAAAGGATAAAGGGGTGTAAGAATGGAGGGATGGAGCGATGAAGGGAAAGGAGGGATGAAGGCTCAAAGGGAGTTTGGGATGAATGGAGGAAGAGATGTAGAGAGAGAGGGAAAGATGGATAAAAGGATGTAAGGAGGCAGGAAAAGATGTAGGGAAGAAGGTTTGTAGGGATCAGGAGATCTAGGAAAGTAGGGATGAATGGAAGTACAGAGGGAGGAAGGGATGGAGGAAAGTAGGGATGCAAATATTTGGGTAAAGATGAGGTGAAAGGCCGAATGTGTTATCCGGGTATAGGTTTTTTAGCAGCTGGTTAAAAGTGTTATGGAGGCGTGTCCCGGCTCCCCGATCAAGTTGATTAATATGTCTCTAGGTTTAATAAGATACGTGCCTTTCTTCACTTGGTTTGTACATACAGTGCTTGTTCGTCGTGTCTTCTATTGTACCTTTGTATGCCATCTTACAAAGTTCTCGTGCAACACACATATGCATATGTGTTATTCTCACCGTTCATTAATCACTTTGTTGACACGCAAAGAAAAAAGAGAGAGACATGGGCACACACACCATCTCAAATGTGCGTGGTGTGCACTGTCTGGAAGAAGCTTGCTTGGCTGAGGAGTTGCAAATGGGATGCTCTCATCAGTCTTCCCAGCAGGACGCCTCACTGTCACGCTGCTTCCATCATGGCAGCTCGTCCCTGCTATCCTGAGTGTAATACCTCAGAGTAGAGGAAATGGAAATGTGTGTGTAACTGAAACTGACGCAGTAAGTGAGAAGACCTTCTTACTGCCTATACTACTTGTTGTAGTTGGGCATCTCAATGTGCAGCGGTTTGTTTTTGAAAAAGCAATGAGAGCTGCAAGATGATTAATGTTTAGCCAATGAGCAGCAGAGGCGGGATTAATGCCACTGACAAGCAGTTGTCAAGATTGTAGGCATGTCTTCTAAATAGTGTTGTATGGATGAGTCCTAAACCTGGGAATAAGTTAGCATTTTACAACCTGTTCCCTTGTCTCTTTTTTTGATGGAGTTATGGTGAAGAAATCAAGGGAGCCCTTGTGATGCTAACTTCCAGGATGCCCTTCAAAAAGATGTCTTCCACATTCTCCTCTTAAATTGGTTAGAAAGGAAGCCATATAATATATGCAGGTACTGTAAAGCAGTGAGTGGTATTCATATACTACCAGGTGGCCTTAAACGTGTGTTATGATGTCTGGCTTTTTAAAACCTCCAAAAAACCATTGTATGTCAATTGGACACAACCGACTGCAAAAGTGACCTGCTGTGATTTACTCAGTGTCACGACTGAAATCGGAACAAAGAGAAACAGTGTTCTGCAACTAACAGCACTTCAGCTCAAACATTCAACTTCTCATTTATGGATTTGTTCATACGGCTGCTTGTCACTTCCTTCACTTGCACAGGTCTATTAACCGGTCATGCTTGACAGATTTGTGTATTTATTGCGGTTAGCAGTAATGGGTATTTTATAGGCCTGTACACTTTGTAAATGTATACTGGAGGATATCAAATGAACTTGGGTCTGCAAGAAGTTCTTTGCTGCAGCTAGATTATTTTGGCCCGGTTGGTTAGTGTGCTTGTTTGTGTGTGTTAACAGGAGCAGATAAAGCAATTTGTTTATAACATCTTAATATGCCAATCGTTTTACAGATACGAAATGTGGAGGTCAAATTGAGCATGTAATAAAGTGACTCAAAAACATATTGAGATTATCATGAATGAATGGTGCAGGAATAAGTCTTAGAAACCCAGACATTCTGGTTCCCTCGTCTCAAATGTAAAGTTTTGTTTTATAGGTAGATGCCTGAAATAAGATCTGTGGTTACAAAACCTTACGGAAATGTGTAGTTTTGTTCTACGACATAAAATCTGCAGGTAAATACAAAACGGCAGTTAAACGACTAAATCAATCCTCTATTCTGAAATCCAAAGGAAAAGTCCCATTGCTTTTGTTTGAGGGACCCTTATCGATGCTAACTTTTTTGGTATCAGCCTTCAAAATACACCATCGCTGCACAATTCTTTGGTGTGTTTATGTGTAAATGTAAGTGGGCACATGACTCTTCAGTACCGTTGCCCTTCGCCAGCGTTTATTTGCGATGATTATTTGTGTGAGCGGGTAGAGGCTTTAATGAAACGGGGAACATTTGAAAACGGTCTCCCATCATTCCATCACTTCCCTAAGTGTGTGTGTGTGCGTCATCCCTGCGCACACTCCTCTCTAACACACTCCATAAATCCTCGGCAGATATACAGCCATGTCAGCCTCGGCACACAGCGTCCGTCGTAATGTACTGTAAATCTGGAGAGGCACTGTCCAAAGCCTTTGTCTCGGATCAGTCTTTGTTTCCAGTGGACTAGAGGAGGACTTGAGAGGGGGAGGATCTGGCTCTTTCATAGTGTGCTGAAGCAGCTGTAAATCTGACGGCAGTGTTGGAGCACGCCCGGGCCACATCAGTGTTTGTCCTCAGCCTCAAAAGGTTAGAATTAGCCAAGGAGGGAAAGGGTCTGATTTACAGGGCGCCTTACGCTTGAAAATGTGAACCCACCGCAAGGTCACTGAGAAAAACATGAATCTACTGTTAGTTTGAAGTTGTGATGCTACTGTTGGCATGACACCTTCTAATTGAAATGGTCAATTTGTCTGGGAATACTTCAATGTGCCAGACCATTTCTGGTAAAATATTATCTGAGTTTGTTGTTGAGCTTATAGAATTACTGATAGTAAGGCTATGTAAAGATTGTCATCACAAGGCATGAAGATTTATATTTTATTGAAAAGTAGGTCGTTTAAAAAACAAACAAAAAAACAAGTCCAATCGATAGACTTGTGCAACCTTTTTTTATAAATAAATATTATGGAAGCCTACGTTGTAACTGTGGACGCAATACATTTCTATCAGGTTTAGGACTCAATATTATTGTTTCAAATAAATAAATGGAATACAAATTCCTACAAACCCAACATGTTCCTGTTCAATTATACACTTGTTACTGTGAAAAAGTTTCTCCAAAAATCATTTAGGCAATCAAGAGAGAAATATTATTTAAGGGTAGGCCACTCACCTGTTAGTATGATCAATCATTCTAATACAGAAAACAAGTTGTTTTTGTTCATTTTGATTGTTGTGTACGTGTAATACATTTGCTCAACTGTCCTTCTGTTCATTTATAAATGCATGCATTTTGTGAATACATGTGAAATTGCAGGTTAATTGGATTGCATCACACACCATGTTTCATTATCAGTCAGGTGAAGAGCGTAGAGAGTGCACCTACATTCCGTTTGCTTACATTTGTATTAGTAAGCACAAAAAGCAGGTGTTATGTGGTGAAACAGGATCAAATGAATACCCTGAGCATCAGCAGGATTGCTTTTGCTGTATTCCTACATTAGAGCATTAGAAAGGCACTTGCTGGAGGAGAATGCAAATAAGAATGTATACAAAAAAAGCCTTGAACGCGGAGCTGTAGCCTGATGTAATGTCACCGCGTTGGTACCCGGAGTGATGAATCTAAAGGCAGAGTTGATGTCTCAATATTGCTCTCTGCTGCTGTGATTAATGGCAGATGATGGCTGCTGTCAATTTACAGTGTGCTCTACGCTTCTCCGTGAACGTACGCTGATTTATTGTGTTCGTGTCTTCAGGCTGCTCTTCATAGACACGGAGTTCCGAACGTTGAGACTGAAAGCGGAGGACTCCTCCAGAAGGCAGCACATTCTCAATATCAAACTCAAGTCTAAGGTACGACACACTCCCTGCACGTACGGAAACACACACACAGTTCACTGTAAGGACTGGATGATTTTCACACTGTGAATTATTCATGATCAAATGGAATACTGTTGACCTACAGCCAATCCAAATCCAGGCTGACTTTACCGAACGCATATGGGACGTTCAATTTGCTGATAGCAAATCAGTGATTTACATCTGCGCCCCTAAATCTAGGTCAAACTGGAGAGGGTGTGGAGAGACATGGTAACCCACTGTGACTGAGATGTAGCACAGATAAAACATCTCCACATAGACCCCAGACAGCGTGATGGAAAACCTTCAACTATGCATAGAGAAAAGCCAATGCACCCACACTCATCTGCATAGCTGCTGATTCTGCTCTCTGCTGAGAGAAGCACACAAAACCTTCACCTGCTGTCGGTACAAGTAAATGTCGGCTGGGGAAATAGCAGAGCGTTTTGAAATGTTTGCATTTCACAGATCTCCAAAGTGTCAGATAAGAGAAGACAAAGTGTGTTTTATGATGTCTTTGTCCTGAAAACAAATGTTTTTTGGTTGATTTTTGTATTGAATTGCAGATTAATCTAGACTAGTCTTGGAGTGTACTAGAATACTGTGTTGCTACTAGTAACTGTTTTCAATAGGCTCAAGGATACCCACTAGGGCAGTGATTCTCAAACTTTTTTCAATATTGTACCCCTTTTGAAAAAAAAATTCAGCCAAGTACCCCCTGATCAGCGCAAAAACAATTTGGTAGGGAAGAAATGCCTAATATAAAGAGGTACAGTACAGTGCTGCACCATCAGTGTCTGATTTATTAAAACAACAACCTTGTAACTGAGAAACACTTAAATGCTACATTTCAAATGTTTATAATCCATCACTAAATTCATGGCAAACCAATTTTAACATCATGCAATAACACTAAGACGACATTAGTTGCATTGAACTGATTTTTTTAATAAGTTGTACTTACAATATAGTGAAACATGGGCTTGTGCTTCACTGAGGATCTTTGTCATTCTCAGTGACAGGAAGGCCACCGCAGTTATTACACTTCACGTTTTGAAATATGTGTAACTCTGTTCATATAAAACCCACTCTGCTCAAACTTCCTTACTTTTCCTGAAATTGGAATTTTTTTTTTTTCCATTAACATCAAATAAATGTCACGTACCCCCTGCAGTACTCCAACGTACCCCTAGGGGTCCGCGTACCCCCATTTGAGAACCACTGCACTAGGACTATAAAGAGTTTACCAGCTCCCGCTTCACTACGTTTTTTTAACATGAGATGCCTGAAATAAGATTTGTGGTTAATACAACCTTAAGAGATTTGTAGGTATTGTTCTATGACTTAAAATACAACAGATAATAGACTGATGATGAATGACCGAAGCTTATATGTGTCCTAAAAATACTGGTTGCTTACAAGTGGCTAAAAGAGACTATTAAATGTTTTCACACCAAACATTAACCTCCTTTAGCTTAGCAGTGGAGATGCACAGCAATGGGACCGTGATGGGTTTAGTTTATATTTCAACAGTATTTATTTTACTTCTGCCGATTGCATTTACGAAAACAATCAGCAATCATAAAAGCAGTGTTAATATGTGGAGATTATCCTGGTGAACAAAACGTCTACAAATTATGAACATGCTTTTGCCAAAGATTATTTTCTGCAATATCCCATAAACCAATATAGAAATCGTGTTGCTTTTTGCGGAGGACCCCTTGTAATTCTACATTTAATTTCAAACCTTTATTTAACCAGGTAGGTCCCATTGAGATCATTGGTCTCTTTTTCAAGGGAGACCTGCAAATTACGGGCAGGCCTACACAAATACGTCATCCCGCTCTATTGTAAAAACAAATACTTCACTACTATTGAAACCGAATAATGAAGTTTAAGTACAGTCAGCAATAATGTCCAGAACTATAAAGTTATATTGACGTTTCACTTACTCATGTTGTGGTTAACGCGAGGGATTAATGTCTATCAACTTCGACAATAAGGCAAACCATGGTCCTGTTTTCCCGTTTTGGGAATTTGACTATTTCGGTATCTGAAACTTTTCTTCACATTTCTGTCAGGATTGAGCTTCTAGAAGCTGGCAGGATTGTTAGTATCTCACAGTGGGCCTGCATATTCTGGGCGTAGTGAGGTGGTGCTTAGCTAAGCCCAGATGACATCCACCGGGGACAAGGGAGGGTGGTGGGACCCCACTCTGTGTCCACCTGCCCACCTGGCCCACCTCACCCCTCTGGCACCCGGTAAAAATAGCTTAGAGTGCATTCCAGCTGCTTCCACCGGATCCAGCGCCAGGTCATCCCTCACCAGGCACAGCTAGGGGGGAGGCAGCACTGGCAGGGACACATAGAGACTGGGAGGCAGGAGAGGGAGAGAGGAAGAGCTCAGGGAAAGGACAGGAAGTAGCTTGATGTTGAAGGTGAACCGGGAGAAGAGATCTGGCACAGGTGTTCTGACCAAAGCTTCTTATAGAGGAACATGCTTCTGTAGGCCGGCCTGGAAGCAGTGTATCCGTTACAATACAATTGTGCCGGTCAAGGTGACCGGTAAGATGTCAATTGACCGGACAAATGGGAAAACATCTGTCAAATATTATCTGTATTTGAGCTAGAAATTCATAGAAAAAGACATCATCGCGGCATGTAGATTCATATTTTATTTTAAAAACAATTTTAAAGAAATTCAAGCTTGCATAACCACCTAGAGCTGTCTGTAGTGTTATTTGTACACAAGTGCACCTGTGACGTGCACACTGTGGCTCCTTTTGAAGGATACGTTATTGCTGTCAATAACACTCTTGTATAACTAAACAATGTGACCATGTACGAGAGACGATAAAAAGTTCATATCCATAAAAATACAGACAGTTCAGTTTATTAATACGTTTTCATCAAAGCAATTTCATTATTGTAACGATATGGAATAAGGCAAAAAAAAGATGTGTGGCAAACACACTTTTATGATACTTACTTATTTTGTTCAGCAGAATAATATCTACATATGAACACCACTTTTTACAATTTTGAAGTGTAAATGCAAATTCTAGAAGTAAAAAGCCAACGTATTGCTATATTTACTGACATAAATGTTCTTAGTCTGTATTAATCACAGACCATATTTTGGGAAACTAACCACAAACAAATTGAAATGTCTATTGACTTTGAGATAAGGGAGCTTAAAGGTGGGGTAGGTGATTTTGGAGAAACCAGCTCGAGTGCGCTAGAATATGAAAATACACAACCGGAAGAAATCTGCCACTTCCTTACAGAGCCCCTCCTCCAACACACAGGAACGCACACATGACCAATGAGGGCACGAGATAAGTTTGTGCACAGATGGAAGGCTGACAGGCAGGTAGGCCATCCAGTTACTTTAGCCGGCTCAGATGATTGGTCGTGCTTTTTACAGCACTACGGCTTCAACAGATGACACTTCTTTATGGATTTATTGTCAAAGCACTTCAGATATTCATTGCTATCGGGATGTTAAGAGCATTCCATGGAATATAACAAAAAGTGTTTCTGAAATAAATGACACACTCTACCTTTAAGTGCTAAAATGCTAACTTGTTTGGAACTTTCATAAAGATATAAGTAGGTTTAAGTAACATAATCAAGATGACTAGCACTAATAGCAAATACTAGACAGTCTTCAAGTAATAACCAAGAACAAACAAAGGAAGGCTTCTCATAAAGGCCAGACATACAGTACAGCAACAAGGAGCGGTGGAGTTACCTCTCATTGTTACGTAATACAGAAGCAGCTCTAACGGTCCTGTCTTCTCCACCCTTAGCACCCTGTGGAGGCTCCTGAATGCTCTGCTGACCTGCCAGTGCCTCTGGCCATCACATGGACACCACAGGTATGTGCATGTGCAATGATACAGTGTCAACAGTAACTATTTATCCATCCCTCAATTTGTTTGACAAAGTAAATGATTAGCAAGCAGTGTTGAAGGTAACTAAGTACTGTACTCAAGTACTATTTTGACCAACTTGTACTTTACTTGAGCATATGTATTTTGTGCTACTTATACTCCTACTCCATTACATTTCAAATATTGTGCTGTTTACATCAGGCTAAGTTACTTACACATAAAAACACATGATAACTGAGACAAGGGAACCGGACATGTTAAAAAGCAAAGTTATTTCTGCGTTTAAGGACTTACTGCAACACTTTATTATTTATAAATAGTCAGCCAACCCGTCCCCAATGATCCTCCGAGCCTCGCATTAGGAAAAGGTTGATGTTTCCATCTAATAGTTGTAATGTGAGCTCAAACTGTGATTAAGGGCCACATCAATACACTTGACTCATCCTGGTGCATGATTGGACAAAACACTTCTCTTCTGTAATAAGACGTTTTTTTCCCGCCCCTCAAATTGAGTCCACTGTAATTGTCATGAAAGTGTTTTGATGTGAAACCAGCTGTGGGCTCTTTGTATCTCTTTGCTTCCTCGTTATTGTTGTTTGCCGTCTCGCTTCTTTCACTCTGCCTCTGCTTTTCATCTCTGTCACTGCCTCTGAGTCTGTGTCACACACACACACACACACACGTCTTTTTTGTTTTTTTGTTGCTATAATTTTTTTTCAGTCACACCAGTCGCTCTGGCCATCATAACAAGTACTCTCAGTGGACAGGCTTACTAGTGTGTGTGTGTGTGTGTGTGTGTGTGTGTGTGTGTGTGTGTGTGTGTGTGTGTGTGTGTGTGTGTGTGTGTGTGTGTGTGTGTGTGTGTGTGTGTGTGTGTGTGTGTGTGTGTGTGTGTGTGTGTGTGTGTGTGTGTGTGTGTGTGTGTGTGTGTGTGTGTGTGTGGTGTGTGTGTGTGTGTGTGTGTGTGTGTGTGTGTGTGTGTGTGTGTGTGTGTGTGTGTGTGTGTGTGTGTGTGTGTGTGTCATTGAGCTGATACATGGCAGGCGTACAGTGAGGACCAGCTTAGAACAGTACTGCCGTATGGAGCCTGTCTGCCTGCTGCGCCGTTGATGGATCTCTCCCACCTTGCAACATGAAGTGTGTGTACGTACTTACATGTGTGTATGTGCATGTGTGTATGTGCTTGCATCTGCGCCAAGTGTGTTTTTGTCTGTGTGTGTGTGTGGAAGGGGAAGGCCCTGTCTGTCGGCAGTCCTGACATGTTCATTTGAATGAGTAATTATTGCCTGCTCTGTTGCAGGGCCAAGACATGCCACTCAGTGCATTTGTGTGGAACTTGAATGGGAAGAGAAATAAACCTGTGTGTGTTTGTCTATGTGTTTAGTTTGTGTCCTTTGTGCTAGGAGACTACACCAGGGTGCTTTTTAACAACCAAAACTGGGTTCTGTGTGAATAAGACGCTGGATGGACACCAGGGCTACAGTTAAATGCAAATTGTAGCCTGGCTCAAAGTCTGTTTGTTCAAATATATAGATTCTATATATTTTTTTCACAATACATTTGAATAATTTTTTTAAATCACAGCTCAGTTATGAGCTTAAAACCATATTTGTTGGTGATCACGGGATGCTATAGTACTTTAGTTTGTGTGATTACATGTGCAAAGCTGTAACTAGTTAGAATTAGTAATAGTTTGACTGAATAATGATCTAATGATCTGGCCATTAGTACAACTATTTGGAAAGAGTCAGCAAATACCCCATTGGTGAATCTCTGAAGCTTTTATGGTTTTGATGCTTTTGCTATCATGTGACTAAATAAGACAATGAAACGTCATCATGCCGAACATTAGCCACCTTTAACTTAGCGGTGGTGAAGTCATTCGACTGTTAGTTACTTCCTTCATTGCCGCATTAGCATTTCACTTTATTTACACTAACACATTGAAAAAGGCGGAGATTACCCTGCTGAGCCAAAGGTGTTACTCTTCTGCATTTACTGACATACTATAATGCTGTATTCACACGATACGCGGTGCAATGGCTCTGCGCTGACGTTGTGTTTCTACGAGTGTTGCCGCCCAACTTGGCGGAAGTGCTACCTTTGCTGTTGATCACTGCTCGAAACTGTTGCAGAGCGCTGCACTAAAAGTCACAATTATTTGAACTCTGACTTTGTGCTGCTCACCTTTCAACGCGGTACCAATCAGGTAACAGCCCAATGAAGGGCCATAAGCTAGAAGGGTATGTCATCATGGAAACACAACCTAACTAGCTGTTGACTCGTGGTGAACAAAGGGCAAATTGTGTATCATTTGAATGGCGCTTTAGAGTTGATTAGTGATCTACTACGAAATAGCCAGATTAGGTCTTGTGATTTGAAACCCAAGGGTATTTTATTAATAAATTCCATTCTATAGTGCAATGTCGATGATGTAAATAAGAGGGAAGCCTGCCTGCCTTTTTGAGTGAAATGAAGGTCAGCCAGATGGCATAACTAGATAAAGACTACTGATTGAGGATCAGATCTCAGCTCAGATTCAGTGTCTCTCAGACTTTCTTACAGCTTTCTGCTGTCACATGTTCTTCTCAAAGATTCAGCAGGAATTCAATTACCAGCTCTTTTTATTTTTTCTTCTTCCTGAACTGGGCCGAGCATAGTTATCCTGAGCTGTAACCGTAATCATGCCACTGGCATTAATTGGGCTGTAATTGCCGAGGCTCTCAGCACCTGGACGATGCTTAATTGTGTGCACTGTGCTGGCACAATGACCCATAATTTTTGGTTCATTTTACCCACTAATTTTTTCTCTCTCATTCCATCTGTATTGGTCTCTGACACCTCTATCAGCCTCCCTTTCTCTCCTCTAAGTGTGAGAGTGTGTATGTAGGTGTGTGTGTCAAAATGTTTGTGTGCTTTAAGTTGTTACCGTTTTAACCAACCTGCCTTGATATATGCACTTTCAGTTCACTTCAGTTTCCCTGTGAAAAATTGTATTTTATAGTTTTTAACTTATTAAAGTTACTTGTTTTGTCCGACCAATCCAAAGTCGAATAACTACAAGTGCTTAGTTTACTACCAGACAACCAATGGAAATTAGAGGAAGCAGTGACTGTAGCACAACCATTCACATACACCTGCAAAAAACGACAGACATTCCCAGCAGCCTCAGCTGTACAGAAGCATGCTAATATTTGAATGAAGGATGGGGAAAGTGGAAAACGTTACGTTATGTTATCATTGTCATTCAGAGCATGTTAGTGTGCTAATGTTAGCATTTTACTAACGGTGTGTCCACACAGCAGCTTTGACCAAATCTTGAAAATCCTGGAGCTGGGCGTGTCTGACAGCTTGGGGATTTCGCGACCAACAACCAATCACATGAATATCACATGAATATCCCGCCCCCGACATACAAAGCAAAACAAACCGGTTCTTCTAAACTATTGTCAAATAGGAAGGCTATGATGAACATTTATTTTTTTAACATTTTGAACATTTATGAGTTTAATGTTTATGGTGCTATTTTATGCTACATTCCATGCTGGCTAATGATACTGTCTATGCTTGCTAGCAACGAAGTAAACTAGCAACGAAGTACACTGGATATAAAATCCCCAAACAAGCGAAAACCTACCAGTTTCACCCACTGCCTCTGCCACCTCCCTCCATGCCTGGTTCCTCCGGTTTGTATCCCGGTAAGTAAATAGGGACTGGTCATAAAGAACCGGGTGATTTGCTACCGCAATAACTAACTTCTCCTCCATTTTTGTGGAATATAGAATGAACTGCGGGTCTCGTTCTCCCAGCTTGCACGCGGTTTGATTGGCTAGCGCTTCAACTGTCAGATTTGCATAAACGGATCTGATTGGCTGTCGCTTCCAGCTCAGCCTCAAAAGTTGAACATTGTTCAACTTTGGAATCCTGAACATCCTGGAAATCCTGGAAATTTTCGCCTCGCCCCCCCACAATGCAGTTCGGCGACAAGCGAGGGAAAGTGACGTCATCCCCATTCAAAGTCAATGGGCGGAGACGCGCTGGAAGTGGTGGACAAATCGCCAAAAGCTGCTGTGTGGACGGGCCGTTAGAGTACAGTCTTAAGCTGTGTGTCCACACAGCATCCTTTTCAGGCTGAGCCTCATATCAGTGTTTTATCTACGGTATCTTGACAGCGTATCACCGCTTCTGTATGACAGACTAGCTTCGCCTGTAGATTATTATTATTTATGCTATATATTTGTTTGAAAATGTTTCACCATGAACACCAACCAGAAGTTTGTTTGAATGAGCTTCACTGTGCAGTCCGACAGCTTTAGAGCGAGGAGGATAATGTGTATACGGCAATAAAAGTTCAACTCTTACAGGCAGCAACTATCGGAAGAAAGAGTCCTGGACTGGGCCGTTTTAAGAACTTCCTCCTTAACCCTTAAAGTTCTACACTTATTTTGCATCGTGTGGAGTTCTAACAGGCTCGGATGAATTAGCTGGAGGCGGTCAGAGTACAATGCAGAATAACTTCATTTCACCAACAACACTAAACAGTCCAATCAGACCCTGAGATCATACTGCTAAGCAACAGTTGTATAAACATATGTATAGCTAAAGCACCCTTCATTCTCGTCAGTTTACCTTGGTGAAGGACCAACCTCTTTGATGTACACTTTGTGCATATATGTTCTAATAGTGCATAGTAATTCACTCATCTCTGCAGTTAGTTAGGCCTTGTTTTTTACTAGTTCACATACTTTCTACTCTTAACAGATACAACATTGAAAATATTAGGTTACTTACAACTAAATTGTATAACACAGCATTTCATGCAAGGTATCAACAACATCCAGGGTCCACTGCCTTTGCTCCAACAAACAAATTCAAAAAAGACGCCACCACTCAGAAACAGCCGCTATGCGGACTCAGGCATTTTAAAGGCTTTTTCTTCAAACAAGAAAAAACATATTCATTATTCAGCTTTATATCTGTTTGTAGGCAATTCCATTTGTTACTTTGGACAGGCTAACTGTTCCCCTTGCTTCCAGAAATGACATCTGCTGTTTGGACACGGTTTTGTTCGGTAACAATAAAGAACCAGTAGTCTAACAGAAGCTTTAGGATACATCTGGTTTCTCTTAAAAATAAATGTGCTTTTTCTTTTGTTCATTAAGAGCACTCTGGAGCAGCTCCACAGTCAGTTCCTGCTGCTCCTGGAGTCCCTGACTGAGTTCTGGGATGTCCTGGATGAGATTGACAGTAAGACCTGGATTCTGGAGCCGGAGAAACCCAGCCGCTCCGACACCATGAGGCGGATCGCCATCGGTACACTTTATGTTTAACTGAGTTTTCATACTGATCATGCAATACGGTTCATTCAAGAGAAAAGACATCCAAAGTAAATGATACATCCCGTCTGTGTGCAGGAAACAACACATCCATCAAGGTGGAGGTGGATCCCAGACACCCAAAGATGCTGCCAGAGTGCTGCCTGCTGGGAGCCGAGCATGGTGGGTAGTCAAACCCCAGAGACATGGCCACACTGGAAAGTTTGTTTTGCGGCACAAGAAGTGTATCTGCACTATTACACACTCACTGGTGACACACTTCATTAGGGCGTGTGAAATCCTCTCCTTATTATAACACAGGCAGCATGAGGTTTAGGAATACATTGTTTACTAAAGTCCTCGCATGTGACACATACAGATTACACTAAATGTATATTTCTTTCTTTATTTCATTTTTTTTATATATCAAATGACACATTAGAAAAAAAACGTGTGATTCCTGGAAGTCTATCAAAGTAATTTGGAAAATGTTGCCTACATTTCTTATTAACACTAAAAAAGTATATTGACAACTAGGATTTTATAACTGAAAGGGGCATTTTGTCCCTTTTTGTGTAAATGACTCACTTGCAATCATGACAATTTGTTAAAGGGGCCTATTCTGCTTTTTGGGGTTTTCCCTTTCCGTTTGTGTGCATGTAAATGGTCTGCAAAGGCTAAAATCCCTGTGTTCTCTCCACACACCCCCTCCCACCCTGCCTGAAAGGCCTCCATTGGACTCCTTCGTTTACTTCCAGAACATAATGACATCACTATGTTCTCTTAGTGCTCCAACACATTGTACATGTTATGCTAAGAGGCGGGACATTTCCGACACATCTCTTAAAAATAATGTAAACATGTTTGCATAATATGTCCTCTTTAATCTACCTTAATCCCCCCAAATGTTTTATCTACATTACATTTTACAAAAAACCCAGAAGCAGCAAATTCTCACATTTAGGTAGTTGCTTGTTTTAGCAAGTTAAACAATAATCTAAATCATACACTAATCATTTGATTAATTCCTAAACAACTAATGGGAATAACTGTGTCCTGAGACTCTTCATCAGATGCGTTTTTATAAAATAATCGGCCAGCCTAGGATCATCCCAGGCAATAAAGTGCAGATTCAGCTCGCCATTATCCAGATCAGATGGTCTGGACTCCAACCAGACTGCTCGTGTTGCCTGTTGTCTGTCGTCGTGTCAGAAGACTTTGCCACAATGTTTTCATTCCCGCTAGCCGACACCGGAGTCAGCCTGCGAGCTCCGGCTTTCTATTTAAGTCCCCGTCAATTGTCGTCCATTGTTTCTGTAAACCCAAGGTCACGCAACTCCTAGCCTGTTGCCTAGCAATGCAACTCAAAAGATATTAAACAGATACACACTTCAGCCGACAAGACGGGAGGCAGGCGGAGACCCTCAAATACGAGGGGTCGCGCACAATATTGCTTTTTGCATGTAGGAATAGCAAATAGTGAAAGTGATGAGTGCTGCACGGAGACAAAGCTCCCTGTGGAACAGAGGCACCACGATGGTTCAGATGTGACAGCGCTGACGGCCTGTTCTCTAATAACAGAGGGCCAGAGTATGCAGAGTGAGGGTTTTTTAAGGCGTCATTTTCAGAGGGCTTATATACAATAAAAACGGAGTCCGCAGGTGCTTGAAATCAAATTTCAAGGATTTTATTAGTATTACCGTTTACGTTCTACACCAAATAAATCCCTTCTCCTTGTTGCAGTGGTGACTCCGCTGAGGAACAAGCTGAACGCCAACATGCACCTGTGGTAAGGGTTCTGTCTGTACAGGCATGTTGTACTACGTTTTATATCATTCAATTAATTAGATTTATTGTCTTTCAGAACAACTTTTGCTGGATAATGCAATGATCACATTATTATTTACTAAACCTGTACGATTTGGACTTTTGCTTTTGCTCGGTTTTATTGGGTTTAAGATATATAAGGAAGTGATTACTTTTGAAGTGATTACTTTTGCATCATTTTGATTGAAAATATATTTAGAGGCCCTTCTATGCTTTTGTGGGTTTTCCCTTTCCTGTAGTGTGTTATATAGGTTTTTGTGTATTTAAATGGTCTGCAAAGGCTAAAATCCCAAATTTCCCTCCAGAGAGAGTTTCTCTCCCACACACTCCCCATTGGACTCCTTTTTTTACTTCAGGAACATCATGACATCACTATGTAACACTCACGCTTCTTGTGGCTAGCGCTTGAACACATTGTACTTGATAGGCTAAGGGGCGGGACATCTCTAAGCGGTTGAACAATCACAACAGAGCCGGCCAGCTAACCAATCAGAGCAGACTGGGCTCTGGTTTCCGACAGAGGGTGAAAAGAGGTGCTGCAGCACAGGCAGTATGAGAACAATAAAGAGCTTTCTGAACATTAAAGCATGGAGACATGTCCCAGACACAACATAGAGAATATGAACCTGGCATTTTGAATGATGGTGCCCCTTTAAAGGGAACATGGTGTTTCTCAAAGAGAATCTGTACCAAAGACATACGTTGAGGATCCACTTCAGAAAAATGGTGAACAAAAAACTGGTTAAATGGGCAAGAGGAAGGCACACATTAGCTTTTAGCAGCCGGTGGGTAGCACAGTACTGCTTGGCTAAATAATGGAGCTAAATAATAATGATGATAATAATAAATTGAATTTATATAGCGCTTTTCAAGTCTCAAAGTCGCTTAAATGCTATGCTAACGTGAACAATCAAGGTTCTATCGAGTTACATTATGATATGGTAAAGCCCTATTCAGTCAATGTGAGAATTTATTACCTTTTTAACAACAAAAAACAGTATGGCAATGTTAAAAATAAGAGTATCATAAAGCACTCGATGGTTTTCAATGTTGTTTTTTTAAGCATCCTGGAATATTATTGGTATTAACTACATTTCTAGAATTGCGAAATACTAAAGTCCCACCACTATGATTATCATCGAAAAAACCCACACAGCTACTCTTCAGTTTAAAGTAAAGCACATATCTTAACTCTCACCACAGGATTTAACATTTGCCTCTCTGCATGACACGTCTGAGGAAAATCTCCTCCACTGCTGTTCAGTTTGAATCAGCTTTAGCTTTTTTCCCTTTTTTTTTTTATACCAATGGTGAAAGTCTCCTAATCATCCCCCAGTGTCTTTGCAGGCTCATTTGCATGTGGTTAATTAGTGTGTGAAGGAGCTGTCTGTGGTCTCTGGCAGGAACCCGGACTCCAGCGTCTTGCACAACCTCCGGGATGTTTTGGAGATCGAATTCCCGTCACCTGCCACCCACGAAAAATCTGTACGTGACACAGTTGCCCCCTTTCCATTTCAAACATGTCCGTTCCCATCACGATTACCTTCAAGCGAGTGTGTTTATGTGTGTGTGTATCCTCCAGTTTGTGCGTCGGTTTGAGCTCCGAGTTATAAGGGGGTGGACATACGATACTGCCTATTTTTCTGTTCATTTCCATATTTTTTCTCTCTGTGTTGTTGTTCCATGAGGTGGGCACAAATTCTCCTTTTAATTGGGTTGTTTACAGAAAAGATCATTAGAATAACAAAGATGGCAGAATTCTCGGCACTATCAAATCACTTTAATCACGCAAAAAGCATTTATCTCTCTGTTTCTGAGGCTCGGGCTCCGCCCCTCCCCTCCACGTGGAAGGGGTTTAAAGGGCGCCGTGTTTATCTGCTGTCGCCGCGGTGATTAATGCTTCGGCTTCATTAACATTCAGAGGAGTGCAAAAAAGTTGGGTTGACCAGATGTTGATTTATTTTTTATACCTGCCATCCTCTCTTAATGGATAGCTCCAGAAAAACAGGAGCTTCTCATTATGCCAAAATGCAAACGAGGCGGAGAGAAAAGTGTGTGTGTGTGAGGGGGGGGGATTCGGGGTGTTACAGGGTGATGTTAGCACTGCAGTTTTAACTAGACGCTTGTTTAACACTAAGTGGTTACAGAGGACCTGCCCATATCTTAAGCATCTGTAGTGTATGTAAGAAAATCACGCTGTGTATTTATTAATTTGTGTGTGTGTGTGTGTAGAGCTTCAGTGTGGAGTGTGGGATATGTTACTCCTATCGTCTTGAAGATGCGATCCCTGATCAGGTGTGCAATGACCCTCGCTGCGGCCAGCCATTTCACCAGGCCTGTCTTTACGAGGTATGGAGACACACTCACCAAAACACACACACACACACGGCTGTGAGGAGCATCTACAGATTACATAGTTCATAGTTCTAAAAAACTGAAGGTTATTTAAGTGAATAGACGGGTGTCATTCTTAATGTTTCAGTTGAGAATGATAAAGTAACACAGGCTTTATGGATAATTAAGATACAAGAAGATTAATTCCAGTGATGGATTATTCCCCTCAATGAAGTTTGGGGGCTCAGAATAGAATAGTGAAAACATCCAAGCAGCAGAAGCGGAGATATTCTGACATTCAGTGGTATGGTATGTACAAAAAAAGTATATTGAGGAATATGTAAAAAGAAAAAAAATCATTGTATTTCATTAAAAAAATATCAGGAAAAATTCATTGTATATTATGTCGAAAAAAAGTCAGTGTAGTATCTCGAAAAAGATTTAATACAACATGACATACAATATAAAAAAATTGTCATAGAAAAGGATGTTGGGAATATTCCAGAGTCATAATAATGTAAAAAAAACTCATAGTATAGTGAGTTAACGGTCCCATGTCATGCTTTTCTGGTTATTACCCGTCCCCTTGTGTGTTATGTAGCTTTTTCTTGGGTACAGTGACGTATTTGGGTATAGTGACGTAACGTAATGGACCAATCCGCGGAGCCGTTACGTTTGGACCAATCCGCGGACTTCCTCACACACACACACACACTCGGCGGGACGTTGCGAGGCTCGCTGCTGCGAGGAGCGGACAGTGTGAGCTGGCTCACTGGTGTGGGGTCGGCGAGGTGGCATTGGGATATATTTTTTTTAATCCTGTGGATTATTGTTATTGATTAATGCATCAGTGTTTCTTAGGGTCAAAAACACTAAACTCACAACTTAAAATGAAAGCGTTTAGTTGATTTAATAAAAGAGCACATGTTCAATGTGAAAAGTGACAGTAGATATAGATCAGTTGCAATTTGGTGCTATATATATATATATATATATATATATATATATATATATTTAAAAAAATTGAATTCTTTTTTTAAACACCTTCAATTTCAGGGGGGGGCGCGGGGCTCCGTTGGTGGGGCGCAGTTTAATTGATTTGATCCAATAGTTGTGAAAAAAAAGAAAATTGTTCAATTGCAACAAGATGTGTTTTTATTCTGGAAAAATTATACAATACTGATAATACATTCAATAGTTGTGCTTTTCAGCCTTAATACAACCACAGAAAATGTCATTAAGAGCCCATTTGAACACACTTAATGTACCATAATGTTAAAGTGAGCCAGGTGGAGGATTTCTGTCACAGCATTGGTCCTTTTCAGGTTTGCTACAAATCTGTGTTTTAAAAACTGTACTGTTATCTCTGATACCGATAGCACCGTTTTTTTGCAGTAATAAGTGTACATTGAAACAAGGGGTTATTATCACTTGACACATCGGATCCAAAGTGTCTTTTCTTCTTCTCTCCTCTTCCTCCAGTGGCTGCGAGCGCTCCCCTCCAGCAGGCAGAGCTTCAACATTGTTTTCGGAGAGTGTCCTTACTGCAGCAAGGTAGGTGTGTTTGTGTTCCATAAAGGCGTTCACTGCAGCCTCAATAGAACACATTCATCTTACTTAATTAGCACAAATCTTTACAGAGCCTTCTCTCTACACTGTATTCAGTTTTTCTCATGCTGTTCCTTGTGTGATGCACAAAGTGAAGTGTTTGATACTCCATATCTATCATTTAATCAAAGGCAGTTTTATGACTTTGTTTGGGAATCCTTCATCTACAGTCCAGTTAGACACAAGAGCCCACTTCATTTGTTCACAAAGCCATCTCTCGTACCGCATTCAATAAGCTTCTCCTTCTGTTTCAGCCTATTACGGTGAAAATGGCCGCCCAGAAGTCCTAAGGAGTGTGTTCCAGTGATGAAAGACTGGTAGATCCCTTTAATGTTTTTCAAAAAGGTTTGAATTCACGTTGGCAAACACCAAGAGCAGCACCCAGGAAGAAGAAGACGCCGGCGAAAAAGAACATGGAGAACCATCCGTTCCTGCGCGTGGGAGGAGCTTCCTGTTCAGAGTTATGTGTGTGTTCGTACCCCTGAATCTGAGGCGGGTAACGGTCCTTCTCCTGGAGTTTTAGAGCTGCCCACTCATGGGTGGGCCGCCCTCCCTCCCATCTCCCCCCCTGTGCTTCACAGTGTTTCCTCCTGTGTGATAGGAGCTGTCGTTTCTTTATCTCCATCGCGGAAAAGCCGTCTGTTTTTCTGCCCGTATATTTCTGTTAAAGATTAAAGTGTTGGCTTTTTATATAGGTGTAAACTTTTTTTTTCTAAACTAATAATTATTTGTTTTATTTAACTTGTACAAATAAACTTCACAGCAAATCAAAAACACTGACTGCTGGAGCTTCTCGTCTTCACACCTGTTTGGACTGAGCTCCGGGGCTGATAGGGGGGCCCCTCAGATAGCATGCAGCGATGGGTCTGGGACTGGCCTCTTCCTCCTCCTCTTCATCCTCATCATCTTCTTCTTCCTCAGATTCGCTGTCATCTTCCATATAAGTCACAGAACCTCTTGTCCTCAATGATCTGCTGACAGCAGGCACATCTTCAACTTCCTTCTAGGAGAAACAGCAAAACATAGCTCTTATTTATGAATGTTTGATTGGATTCTTTTGGAGTGCAATGGTATGTTTCCTTGTATCCGTGTTAACACTGTTAATGTGTCCGGATTTAGGAAAATACAAAATATTGTTAAATCATTCTCATTCTGCTTTAGCATTCAAAACATCATGAGTCTGTTGAAAGAAAGACTTTGCCACTTCCTGTTGACCCTAGCCACAGATGATTCCATTATCAACATGATCTGTATTTGGACCATACCATTGAGAAAGTGAAAATGGAGTTTTCCACTTCAATGCAAGCACTCTTTATTCTCAGTGTTCTGTGAGACGTGTTTAAGATTGAGTCTTGGTTTGACACATTTTCTTGAGGGATTCAATTCCGAGATAATTTGTACAAACCTGCTCCCAGGACTATTTCAATGGACGAGAAAGAGTGGTGCGGAAATGAGTTAGCATTTGACCACTTAAGCTTAGTGGTGGTGATACACATCGCAATGTAATGTGTATATAGCCTAACATTAGCTTTTATTTACGGTTATTGTAATTACACTTGTAAAAGTGGTGTAAATGTGTATACATTATGATGCTGTACAAAACTAAAGCTATCATAAAAGGTTGTTTGGCACATTTTCTGCAATATCTCAAAATCAATTTGGCAAAGATTGTCAATAACCGGTGACGTTTCAGACCTTACCGGTGATTGAGCCTGAGGTTTAGTGAGGGGCGGTCCTCTTATGTAGCGAGCTGGCACTGGTTTAGCCTTCATCTCCTCCTCTTCATCGTCCTCCACCTCTGCGGGGACAGCCTTGGCTTTGGGTGGTCTTTTGACTCGTGCTGCTTTCTGTTTAACACAAAGGTGGGAGGGTCTTCCAATTAAACTCTTCCTCTTTTAACTTTTGAACTCTTAATTGAATTATTAAGTTATACCAGAAATCCTTTATCTGTTCCACAGCGGGAACATTTACAGATTTACAGCAAAGGTAGAGTGCAGATAAAAGGCACATAATATTAAAGGGTATATCGAATTAATAGCAAAAAAAATGATACGTATTAATGGTAAACAAAAAGCAGCATTGTAAGTGAACACATACAAGTATTAAAGTAGCAGCCAGTCATACCAATTGTAAAATTGTTTAACTTTGTGTAGCAACTTCACTCAGATGACATTAAAATGGACTTTTCTCTCTTAAATAAAACTTCCCCCCAGCATCACTATAATTACCGATAAAATAATAATATATTTATCCAACAGCAGTGGGGAGCTCAACTGTGATTGGCTGCGCTGAGCGGCCTTTATCTCTGCTGACATTTACTCTGCGCACTAAGCCGCCGGTAAATGGCCACTTCTGTTTAACTAGGGATCAAACTGGCCAGCACTTTAGCATGGAAATGAAATGACACAAGGAGAGGAGCGGGGATCAGGAGCATAATTGGAGCGGCCCGCGCTATGGGGGAAGTGTGTGTCATCAACTTCTTGAAATTGGGCCGTGGAGAGGCGAGCCGGGGCCCGAGGGGTCAAGGAGTGATTCTGCTGAGTTTGAGGCGAATCACAGTCCCCTCCACCTGTAGACCCGGTTCACATAATCATTGGTGGGGGTTAACCCTCCCCTTCACTGCTGTCACGTTTCTCCACTCTGGCGTTAAGAGACTCAAACAGGAAGCCTTGTGACCCATTGTTCACGGAGTGCAAAAAAAACATTTCATATAAACTATTCCCTGCTCGCTGTGAACCCGTGATCAAACGCTTCTCAATGGCAGGTTTGTTGAAGAGCAGATGAAGATGTTTTTATGTTGCAGAACTCCAAAGGCAGCACACACACCCATCAGCATAAAGGGGACAGAGTTTAAACGTGTCTCCAGCTTTAAGTTTCAGTGTGTCCACATTCCTGAGGACCTCTCTTGGACGCTTGACACCTCGATCCTAGTTAAGAAGTTTCACCAGCGTCTTTTCTTCCTGAGAAGAAAAGACCATCTGTATCCTCAGTGAACTTCTACCACTGCACCATTGAGAGCACATTCACCAACTGGATCACAGTCTTGTATAGCATCGCACCGCATCAGACAGAAAAACATTGACCAACGCATCATCGGTCCAGCACACGTGGTGTCTGCGGGGGGTGTACAGCATTGTCTCTAACCCCCTACAGACGGTTTGCTCTCCTGCCTCTGGAAGGCACTACAAGAACCTCCATACCAGGACAAACAGGTTCAGAACATGGCTGTATAAAGAGGATTGAATAAAGCGTCGGGGCCCCGTTCATTCCTGTCAGTCACTTAGTGGAGCATGAAGTCAAAATGGAGCGACTAGACTCGAATAGTACCCGGATCATCCAGTGTGGGCCAATAAAGCATGTGCACTTGAATGTTCCTCCGATCTGCTGCTCTCGGCTCAGTCAAAGGAAATTAGGGAAAATAACTCTGGAGTCCACCCTAATGATTTAAAGACAAAAACAAGGGCTATAAAGTGTTTGTATTGAGTTTTATATCAATGGGAAAAAGTCATTTTACCCAATGACGTCACAGACTGAACCAAAAGATGTAGCGCCACTACGAAAATATGCGCACTTCCTTAGGGCTTTGTTTCAGGAAGAGCTTTTTCTCCACCGCTGTCACCTGCATGCACCCCCCCCACCACACACACTCCTGGATACCTTTGACTGACTTTGCACATTAGTCTTAGTCACTTATTCTGTTTATAAACTGTCAAAACGGTTATATCTTCAATAGCGTACTCATATTTATTCAAGTGTCAACGACCGACCATATTGTATTCATATTTATTCTGTCTATAGAGTTTGTATTACATAGTGTATATCTATACCAGCTCTGTGGTGCATTCAATTTCTTTCCTGCCGTTTATACATCTACTGTTCGTACTGTATACTCTGACTTTTAGAAGTATATATGTCATATGTATATTGTTATATTAGGCTATAAGACTATTAGACACAAAACGTTTACACATGGAAGCTGTTCCTGTCTCACCTTCTCCCTAGTTGGCTTGGTGGTGGACCCCCCTGCGGGTTCTTGTGGCACAGAGAAGTCCAGCCCCCCCGTGTGGACACTGGCCAGCAGATCTTTGAGGTGCTTGTAGTTTGGCTTCTCTTGGTAATCCAGAGTTTTCACATAACTGAGGAACGCCTCCACCTCATCTGAAGACACAAACACATCAGAATCACATTCCATACCGTATAGATTCACACTTAAAGTATTAGCTTACAGAACAGTACTGACATCAAATCTGATCCTTTTACAACAAACACTATATGCTCTTCTTAGTTCTTTACTAACATTGTAATCCTGCAAGTAATCCCCAATGTTTAGAAATGTAACAGTAATCTGATTACGTATTTTCTTTATGTAACCGTAAGGGAAAAACTAGGAGACGTACTCATGCAGAGAAACAAACTGATGAACCTGAAGGTCTCACAAGTCCAGCAAATACACCGCCCCGAAATGTATCTCCTACAGAGAGTAGATTAGCACACACAGCTATAGAATGCATTGTTTGTGTGTGTGTAAGGTTCATACACAGCCACTATGCATCACACCCTGGCAGGACGACGTGTATGACACATCCTGCTGTAGAACTTGTCACACACACACAGTTGATGCATCCTCCCGCTCTTATCTGCAGCAGGCAGCCGGGCCTCGTCAGCAGGAGAGAGGAGCCGGTAACAAACACACATCACACACCGAGCCTCACACAGGTGTGACCTCCCGTCATAGAGAGGTGAGATAAAACAAGACTAACTTTGAAAGGTGTGTCGATGGGACGGTTGTTTCACCGGTACAGACAGAGTTATTCAGGAGCTTCAGGAAACTGAGGGAAAGATGGAGGGTTTATTCTAGGGGGAGGGATTGGCAGAAAGAGGATTTGATCTATTTGTCAGGAACATTGTTGAGGCACGTTTACAGACTCAGAAGCTGCTTTCACATGAATTGCGGTAAAACGTCTCGGCAGAAGCGCTACACTCTGCGTCATACTCTGCACCTCTTGTATAGCTGATTGTTCGTAACGCAACCAATCAGATAACGGTTGTATGAGGACGCTAAAGACACTCTGATCATATCAATCCACAGAAAGAAGTCCGGTCAGTTTAAATTCAGCTGTGGTCAAAAACTCAATTGTTTTCTTCTGCCAGAAAACACCTATAATACCTTTTGAATATTCATTTTTATATTTGTGGAGAGCCCCACACTTTGGATTCATAATGGATGAACTGTCCCCAGTAAATAAGTTCGTTTAAAGCCCTGGGGCCTGATTTATAAATGTGGCGTACGCTCAAAAGATGGCGTACAATCTTTGCGATTTATAAACATGGATGTATAATAAGAACTGGATACAGCGTGGGAGGCGGGGCATCATTCATTCCTATGAGAGTTGCTCATTGGCTGATGACATGGATGTATAATAGGAACTGGATACAGCGTGGGAGGCGGGGCCTCATTCATTCCTATGAGAGCTGCTCATTAGCGCATGATGATAAAATGGCCCAACTTTTGAGAGAGTGAAACGTCACAGATTACCCGGCATGCCTGAGAAGTACCCGTATGTGCGCTCATATCGCATGCGCAACTTTAACCAAAATGCTTGTTCACATCAAGCACGTCAATTTGCGTACACGTAACAGCACCGCACGTTCATGACAGCATGGTAATGGATTGTTATTATGATGGATTTGATATTAACGAGGCGGCAGTTAGCAGCTAGCGGCTAGCTAGTAATTATGCTAATGTAACATCAATCGTTATGTACTTATATTAC